GATAAAAGAGACACAAATTTTATGTGGAAAACCTCTAAATAATATAGGGTAAAAACCACGGGCAACGGTAGAAGAATTTCACTATGAGAAAATAAGAATTACAACTTCTCTCGATCGACCAAGGAGAAAACAATGATAATTCTCTCTTGATAAAAAGGAGAAAACAATTCTCAAGAAACTCGCTAAATTCTCTCTAGTATTGGAAGAAAGTTAGAATGTTTTGAAGCTAAATGAGCTAGGGTATTTATAGTTGAAACTTAAGGACTAATTTGTAAATACCTTAAATTTTAGGGATTAAATTTAGTAATTATCCCTTTATTTTTTTTTCAACAATTTGGTTGCCTAAATTTGACTATATTAGCCACCCAAAACCATTTTCCAGCCGCCCCATGTGCTTTCATTTTCAACAATCTCCCACTTGAAGATTTGATTGGAACACTCATATCTTCACACCATTCTTTCTACCTTGTACCTTCATGTTGCTTACGTCTCTGGCAGGCCACAAGAGGATCGACACCAAGTAAATTTATCAGTGTTGATTGCCTTCTTCATGAAATCTGCTATGTTGTCTTTGGTATGGATCTTCTGCATATCTATCGTTCCTTCTTCCACCTTTTTCACGAATGAAATGATACTGAACTCATATGTTCTTTGTCCTTGAATAAAATGTTGGATTCCTTGCTAGATGCAAGGTGCTTTGACTGTCACAAAACAGAGAAACATGCTCTTGATTATGCCCAAGCTCCTCCAATAGCATCTTCAACCAAATTACTTCATTACTGGCTTGTGCAGCTGCTACGTATTCTGCCTCTGTTGTGGACGTAGCCACAACTGACTGCAATTTTAAAACCCAACTTATAGCTCCACCAGCAATTTTGAACACATATCTTGTAGTAGATTTGCTTTTATCCAAATCCCATGCATAGTCAGAATCTACAGAACCATTGATTAGTAAGTTTGATCCTCCGTAACATAATGCAACATTTAAAGTCCCTTTGATGTATCTAAGGATCCTCTTTACTGTATTCCAATGCTCTTTGCTTGGATTCGCCATGTACCGACTAACCACTCCCACTGCTTCTGCAATGTTTGGTCTTGTGCATATCATAACAAACATTAAACTTCCCACTGCTGATGCATACGGTACTCGAGACATCTCAATCCTCTCTTCTTCACTGCTAGGACTCATACTGGAAGATAATTTGAAGTTAATAGGAAGAGGGGTAGAAATTGGCTTACAATCTTGCATGTTGAATCGTGAAAAGATCTTCTTCAAGTAATTCTTTTGTGAAAGCCAAATCTTCCTATTACTTCTGTCTCGGTGAATTTGCATCCCTAGAATCTTGTTTGCTGATCCCAAGTCCTTCATTTCAAATTCCATAGCCAGTTGTGCCTTCAATTCTTCAATATGATCTTTGTTGGGTCCTGCAACCAACATGTCATCCACATACAATAGCAATATAACAAAATCATTATCACCAGACCTCTTGAAATAAGCACAAGGATATGCATTAAGTCTGTTGTATCCAAGGCACATAATGAAGGAGTCAAATCTCTTATACCAACACCTCGGTGCCTGCTTTAGACAGTACAAAGATTTGTTCAACCTGTAAACCAAGTTCTTCTTTTCGTCTTCTTCAAAACCTTCAGGCTGGAGCATATAAATCTCTTCTTCAAGATTTCCATGAAGAAAAGCTGTTTTAACATCTAGCTGCTCTAGATGTAAGTTCAATGTAGCACACATTGCCAAAACTACTCGAACTGTTGTTATTCGAACCATAAGAGAAAAAATTTCATTGAAATCAATACCTTCTTTTTGAGCATATCCTTTAACCACCAGTCTTGCACGATACCTTTCAACTTGATCGTCACCATTTCGCTTGATTTTAAAGACCCATTTGTTACCAATTGGCTTCCTTCCTTGTAGTAGTGGCACAAGGTCCCATGTATAATTTTTATGAAGGGCTTCAATTTCTTCTTTCATCGCCATAATCCATAATGAAGCATCTGATTTGTTTATTGCCTCCTGGTATGTTGATGGCTCACCGTCATCTGTTAAAAGGCAGTATGAAATATTACCTTCTATAACATAATCTGAGTGCCAATTGGGACGTCTTCTCACACGATCTGATTGACGAGTTGTTGGAGCTTCAGAACTCTCTAGTTCTTGTTCATCATGTGCTGGTTCTGCTTCAGAAGAATCTCCTTGTTCAACCTCCTTTTCTACATGTATCTTTGTAGTCTCTGACTTTTCAGTGCTATCATCATCTTCTTTTCTTTTTAGTTTATTTTCTACAAAGATAACATCCCTGCTGATGATCACTTTGCGGGCAGTGGGATCCCACAAGCGATACCCCTTTACACCATCAGCATACCCCAAGAATTTGTATTTCCTGGATTTTTGATCCAACTTTGAAATTTCTTGGGAGTTGTACATCACGTACAGAACACTTCCAAATACATGGAGGTTTGAATAATCATCTGGTTTACCAGTCCACATCTCTATTGATGTCTTCAGCTCTATTGCATTTGATGGAGCTCGATTCACCAAATAACAGGCGGTATTGACTGCTTCTGCCCAAAATGATTTTTCTAGGCCTTCATCCCTCAACATTGCTCTTGTTCTTTCTAACAAGGTTTTGTTCATCCGCTCTGCCACTCCATTTTGTTGAGGAGTGTTCGCCACTGTAAACTGTCTTTTGATGCATTCTTTCCTGCAAAAGTCATCAAATTCTTCGCTTGTGTATTCTCCTCCATTATCTGTTCTGAAACACTTGACCTTATTTCCAAAATCAAGTTCCACCCGCTCTTTGTGAAAGTTGAAAACACATCTGACTTCTTCTAAATGGGGTACACCCAATATCTCCTGGAGTAGTCATCAATAAATGAGACAAAGTACTTTGCTCCACCTAGGGATGTAATTGGTGCTTACCATACGTCAGAGTGAACCAATTCTAGAAAATTTTTGCCTCTGGAATTTGATATGTTGAATTTCAACCGGTGCTGCTTGTTATGCAATGCTCACACAAAGGAAGTGATACCTTTGTTAAGCCTGGAAGTAGCTTTTGCTCCACAAGGACTTTCATTCCTTGTTCTGACATATGTCCAAGTTTCTGATGCCATAGCATTACAGAATCTGAACTACATGAGGCAACAGAGGCTTTTGCTTCTAGCAAAGTCTCTCCCTTCAGCATGTACAAATTTGTTGTTATCTTTTCGCCTTTCAGCACCGCAAGCGCTCCACAAAACACCTTCATGATTCCTTTCCGTGTTTCAATCTTGCTTGCATTATTATCCAACAATCCGTAGGATAATAAATTTTTCTTTAGGTCTTTTACGTGCCGCACATCTCAAACAACTTTAATTGTTCCATCATACATCTTCAATTTGATGGTTCACACGCCAATGATCTCTAAGTCATGATCATTGCAACTATACACATATCCTCTTGAGACAGGTTCATAATGATGGAACCATTCTCTTCTTGAGGTCATGTGATATATTGCTCCTGAATCAATGAGCCATATATCTGCAAATCTTTTTCTACCTTCTACGGTGGTTGACGCTTCACAGCATAGAGCATCTCCATCATCTGAAGTGTTTGCGGTATTACCTTGTGGATTGGAGTTTTTATTTAGACTCCAACAATCCTTAAATTCTTCTTGCTCCTCGACTTCGATCTACAATGTTTGTGACTGCTGCTTTGGCCACGTTCTATTGATCTCCCTCTCATCGTTGTCAACGCTTCTTCCTGTTGCAGATTTACTTATCTGTCTTCCTTGTTTTTGTGTCGATTTTCTTCTTGGAGAACATCAGCTGCAACGTCATCAAAGACTAGATTGGTGACATTACTTTTTGTCAAGTTGATGATGAGTTGATCTTACGAATCAGGTAGACTTTGAAGTAGAAGTTCAACACGTTCTTGTTTTCCTATTGTACATCTTAAGGATGTAAGCTGAGAAAATAACGTGTTACGTGTATTTAAGTGTTCCGTCACTGAAGTAGATTCTGGCATCCGGAGAGTGTACAATTTTCTCTTAAGGAAAATTTTATTGTGCAGCGATGTGGCCTCGTACAGTTTGGTGAGATGATCCCATATCTCCTTAGCTGTCTTCTTCTCCTCGATGCTTGACAATACTTCATCTGCTAATACTATATGAAAGTTTGTCATAGCATTCTCGTCCATTTTGATCCATTTGTTTTCATCTGTGAAATCCACCAGCCTTTCCCTGATAGTTGCTAGACAACCGTCTTTCCTCAGGATGACCTTCATCTTCAATTTCCACAATGAGAAATTTCTCCCATTGAATTTTTCAATATCAAATTTCGTTGTCATAGCTTCTATTACGGATAGCTCCCACTATTTCACTATCATGAATAGTTCTCTGGAACCTTCAAAGAATGGGTAATAACTTCTTACTTTCTTATGTTGGAGGATCCACCTTTTGGTGGCAACCACAAAGACAATAAGCAGATATTACACACTCAAATCTGGCTCGGATACCAATTGTTGCGGAAGACGGCTATCGGATATAGTAAAATCGCAACTGATGATTTGAGAAAATAAAAATGAAGATAAAAGAGACACAAATTTTACGTGGAAAACCCCTAAATAATATAGGGTAAAAACCACAGGTAACGGTAGAAGAATTTCACTATGAGAAAATAGGAATTACAACTTCTCTCGATCGACCAAGGAGAAAACAATGATAATTCTCTCTTGATAAAAAAGAGAAAACAACTCTCAAGAAACCCGCTAAATTCTCTCTAGTATTAGAAGAAAGCTAGAATGCTTTGGGATGGTTTTGAAGCTAAATGAGCTAGGGTATTTATAGTTGAAACTTAAGGACTAATTTGTAAATACTCTAAATTTTAGGGATTAAATTTAGTAATTATCCCTTTATTTTTTCAACAATTTGGTTGTCTAAATTTGACTATATTAGCCGCCCAAAACCATTTTCCAGCCGCCCCATGTGCTTTGATTTTCAACAAAATGTAAATGTAATTGAATATAGATTTATTACTTTATTTTTTGAAATTATTGTATAAATATAAATTTAACAAAACTATGAGTGCATAGTCAACGAGCATAAAGGCTCTTAAGCTTATTCGTCAGGTTTCACACCAAATTTTGATGGGAAATTAGAGAAACTCCCCATCCAAAATAAAAATAAAACCCTTATGTGCACACCAAAAATATACTCTTCAAGAGGCTCAAAGTCTCAGTATTTATAGTCCTTAACGTGGAGACTCTCGGCAGCGCCCTCACCAAGCTTTGCATCACCCTTGTAGGTGCCAAGAGTAGCCTCAGAATTAGCCTTGCACCTAACCAGTAATGCTTCTTGTGCCTTTCCCACATTCTCCTTTTTCCCACCCCATGCCTTGAGAGTGCTCTGTTGAAGAGCTCGTCCAAATGAGAACGAGAGCGACCATGGTTTCTTGGTTTGTAGCTTGTTCATGGCATTAAGGTTTATGGTAGCCTCTTCCTCACTTTGTCCACCAGATAAGAACACGACTGCAGGGACTGCAGGAGGGACGGTTCGTTGCAAGGCTCGGACCGTGTGCTCCGCAATAACCTCGGGTGCAACCTTCGGGGAATCTGAACCTGGCGTCACCATGTTGGGTTTCAACAATGTACCTTCCAGCATCACATGGTGATCGTTTAGAGCTTTGTAGCAAGCTGCAAGGACACGCTCGGTTACCGCAGCACATTTGTTGATGTCGTGTGGTCCATCAACAAGGATTTCAGGTTCAACTATGGGGAACAGGCCACATTGCTGGCAGATGGCGGAATACATGGCTAAGCCATTGGCGTTCTCTTGGATTGCTAGCTCGGTTGGCTCGATAGTGCCGACCTTAAGCACGGCACGCCATTTAGCGAACCGAGCACCGGCTTCGTAGTACTTTTGGCAACGCTGGGCAAGGCCATCAAGACCCTGGGTGAAAGTCTCACCGTTGGTTCCATTAAGCTCAACGGTGCCAGTGTCAACCTTGATGCCGGGGAGGACACCAGATTCTTTCAAGACATCGACAAAGAGCTTGCCTACAATCAGAATTCATTATTAGATATAATTCATTTACATTCAGAAGAAAAGAAAATTATACCAGAAGCAGTTTTTTGGTAGAGTGTTTCTTCAAAGAAAATAATGCCACTGATGTACTGGAGGGCACCGGGAGCAGTGAAGAGGAGCTCTCGGAGTTCTCGCCTGTTTTCTTCCACATTCTCTACATTAATGCTCGCAAGTCGCTTGCCGATGGTGCCGGTGGATTCATCGGCCGCTAGGATACCCTTCCCAGGGGTGCCGATGTAGGCAGCGTTTTTAGCTAGCTCATCTGCAACATTAATTTAATTAAACAGTAAGAAAGAAAGCTTTCTCGCCGAATTACGAAACATCCAACATATCAGAGAAAATGAATAAGATGAAATGAAAGCGATTATAAACATATAAGAATAGAAACAAGAAGTACCGGCGTATTTGCTTTTGAAGCAAGACATGATTGAAAAAGGAAAGGTAATATAGTGTTTGTGTGGGAAGAGAGAAAAGAGACGATTGAAGTGAAAATGGAAGGCATTCGGTTTTTAAGAGAGAAAAGGAGCCGGGAAAATTGGAGAGTTAATGGAACAGAATAACTCACTCTTCAATCTTTTTTTATTAATAAATATTTATCCAAGGTCATTAAAAATCTTTAACTATAAATAACTAATATTATTAACAGGTGCTTTCAAATAATTGAGTAACAGGAAATATATTCATACATCATCAAATTATTAGAAATAAATTATTCTTATATTTGTTTTTAAGGTTATTTATATTATATTCAAAGTTATAGGAAATATGTGGGTAAATAAGAGAAATAGTTAAGGTGTGGGAAAGAGGGTTTTATGGGGAGTGCATGGTTTGACTTTGAACATGGAAATGTAGAAAAGAGAACAAATCAAATCAACCCGTACATGGAGGGATGGGTAGAAAATTTTATATTGATGGTGTTGATTTTATGAATTTATATTAAAAATATAAAGAATATGAAATTATAAAATTTTAAGTGATATAAATAATTATATAAAATTTAAAATTTTAAAAAATACGATCACACTTCAATTTATCTTGATCCATCCTTAATTGAAGAAATAGAATCAATATCATCATGTCTTGACCTGTAAGAGGTGGGTGTCCGTAAAATCCGAGTACCCATATTTTTAAGTCACGAGTACCCAATTAATAATTAATTTTTTTTTTAAAAAAAATTATACATAGAAAAATCTTAAACTTTCAAACTTAAAAGTATATAATACATAATATAAACACTCCAACATTAACGCAATGGAAATCATACACATATGAAGGCTTTCCACAAACATCCCCAACATCATGCAACATAAAATATAATATGACACTCATTAATACATCATAACACATGTTTTAATCAATTTTATCTTTTATAAATTCGTTTATTACCCATAGGATTATTCTTGTAATTTTTCCTACTCGAGTATTGTAGTCTTTTACTACATATAGAGACTTTTTAGTCATTTTTATTCACACTTTAGTATTTTAATCATTTCTCTTTTCCATCGTTTCACTAACTGTATTGTTCTAATCATTGTAGTACATAAGAGTATTTTGATAATTTTTCCATTTAAGAGCCTTTTAGTCTTTTTTCCAATCATGGGGTTATTTTAGACATTATCTTGTTTTATAGCTTTTTATTCTTTTATCACGTCAGGATATTTGATCATTTTGACTCCCATGAGCATTTTGATAATAGAAAATAATTTCAGTGATCGAAAATACCTTATAATATATGATTTTAACCAATTTTTTTTGGATTTGCGAAAATGACCAACAAATTCACAACGCGAACTCTAATTTCGCAACGCGCTTTCCAAATTCGCAACACTGAATTTCAAATTTGCAACTCGATTTCTGAATTCGTAACTCAATTTTTGAATTCGCAACACGAATTTTAATTTCGCAACAAGTTTTATTTTCGCAATACAAATGTTTTGGGTATATAACTACGCAGCATCAACAACTCATAACCTAAATTCCTAAATCGCAACTCATTCCATCTCCATCTATTACTCTCTCCGGCGACATCCGTTCCTATATCCAACGACATCCTTCCCCATCTCTAATTTTTTTTACATAATTTTATTTCTATATAAATTTTCAATGATTTCTCTCCCAAATGATCAACTATCAACTTAATAAAGGTATGTTTTTCTCTAAGTTAGTGATGATATGTAGTTTATAGCTCGTTTGTTTAGTAAATTAATTTACAATTTGTAGAATAAAATCATCTAATGTTGATCATGTTTGGATATATTTGTGTTTTGGAGGGTCATGGGAGAATGTTCATGGTGTTTTACAATATATGCCTTTACCCATGAATCTTCAACTAAAACTGTCATTAAAAAAGTTAACTTATGAAATTCTAATGTTACGTGTTGCAAAGAAATTGAATTTAGAGCCTCTAAGTGGATTTAGGCTATCTTATCAGAGAAAAGGTAAAGTTTATTTGTTAACCGAAAATGAAGATGTTGAACGATTCATTGCTTACATTAGTGTTTCGCAAGAAGATAATGTTACATTGTATATTGTTGAACCTAGAAGTAGTGAAGTTGGGTCAGTAGTGGGTAGTAATCAACTAAGTTCTTCAACCCTAGTTTATGGTGCTCACAATGTACAACGTTGTTATCAACCTCAAAATTTAATAGTTCCACCACAATTTCATCACCAAGAAAATTTTGGTTCACCACATTTCCAATACCAAACACAATATTGTTGAGTTAATCGATTGACGGAATTGGCCAAGAGGGGGTGAATTGGCAATTAAAAATTTGGTGAAAGCTTTTGCAGAAAATTGAAAGTAATTGCATATCGATTTAGAGTGGTTCGACTTTCTCAATCAAAGTCTACGTCCACTACCTTACCTATCCACACTAAGGATTTTCCAACAAATTCACTAATTTGTTCTTTCTTTTGAGGCCAAAGAGATAACCTTACAACACCCTCAAGAATATACCCCAATTCTTGAGAGCACTCTTTCCCAAAGAGAAGATTACAAATTTGCAAACTTACAAGGAAAACCTCTCAAGGTAAGATGTTTGCACAATTCTAGAACAATAAAAGAACACTCACAAATAATTACAAATGAGCACAAATGGTGTTCTTTGAAAGCAAAATGAATATTGAAAGGAAAATTGGCTTGATTTGCACAAACTTGGTGTTTGATGCTTTCTCTCTTGTTTCTCTATAATTTCTTGTTGATCAAGGGCTTCAGAACTTGTTTAAATACACCTTGAATCATTTCTGAACGTTGGGGATGATTAGTGAAGATCATATAGCCGTTTTAGTGTGAAAACAATTAATAAAATAGCTTGGAGCGTGGGGGGAATCGGTACCCCCTATGGGGAATTGGTTCCCTAAGTGTAAAATTCAAATATTTCGACCGTTATACAAGGGGGGAATCGGTACCCCATGGGGGGGAATCGGTTCCCTCCGAGCATACTGGAATTCTCAGAGCCAAACCATTCAGGGGGGAATCGGTACCCCCTTGGGGGGGAATCGGTTCCCTCTGAGCAATATGGAATTTTTGGCTTTGGAATGGTTCGAAATACTTTGTAAAATTATTTTGAAATTGTTTTAAGATTAAAACTTAATTTTACACTTTGAGTAAGGATTAAAAATGATCTTTGAAAGATTTGGAGTAATGTTTTGATATTCGAATAATTCTATCGAATATACTTGGAAAATCATTTGGAAAATCTTAAAATTCATTTAACTTAATTTGTTATATCGAAATATCAACATGTTTTCAACAACTCCCCCTTTTTGATATAACAAAACATTTTAGTAATTTTAAGATTTTGAGATTTTGAAATCAAGTTTTGAAATTACTCACTCTTACTTTAACACTTCTCCCATTTATCATTTAAAAACACTTTAACACTTCTCCCCCTTTTTGTTAAATCAAAAAGACATTTTAAAGAATTTAAACAAGGTTTTGAAATCAGTTAGCCAATTGATTATATATAGTATAAGCTGCTAAGATCACAAGCAAGAGAAACATTAGCCATTAGTTTCATAATCAATATTCATAATTAATGTGAAATGGCAAAATTAGTCATATATCTAATCATGAAGTAAATGATGCAATAATGAATAAATTTAATCACACCAAATAGATAATTTCTAACCATTCATAAATCCAAACAAAGTCGAAGTCAATCAATCCACAAATTCAAACATTCCAAAATATTCAAAATGTTAAAACAATAAGTTTGGAGTTCAAAGCAAAACATTGAATCACATATCCGGATCAGGAGGAGGAAAACGAGCTCGCATAGCGGCCATTTTGTTAGTAAGGTCATTAATACGTGCGTTGGTTGCTTCATTATTTGCACGCATTTCCTGAAGAATTTCTAATTGTTGAGCTCCCATTGTGGATAAATGGGACTCTATAGAAGTAAAGCACGAATCCATAGTAGCGTATCGAAAATTGAATGTCTCCATAAAGGATTGGAAATATGGAGGCATTGGATGCGTTTGTTGTGCTTGCTCTTCGGGCTGCTACTGCCGATGCTCAGGCTCATCTTCGGCTTCATCGATGTCTCGCATTAATTGCTCAAGCTCGAGATCTTCATCAGCTTCAGGTGGAGCTTGTGAAGAACTAGCTCCCGGAGTATTTGCAGAAGATCGAACCCATTCACCGGTTTCCTTATCCTTAATCCATCCCGCTCTCGTTAAGGAAAGAAGGTTAATTTGTTTCTTAAGGGGAAAAATGGCATCTAGACCGACTCTAAGCCCAGCTTTGGAAAACAGATTACTCAAAATGCAACCGTAAACAAGAGATGAACAGTGTTTTTTGTTAGGAACAAGATTTACGGTTTCAACAATTTCAGCAAAAATAATCTGAGGTAGGTTGATTTTAATATTGTTTTCGAAACAATGTAACTACCAAAGATCTAAGGCTCTAAGAGTAGAATAACGACCTCCGGATGGTCGAAACCACCAAGAAATCATTAGATGAAGAAAACGTTCATGAAGGTCTAGGACACTTGCACTATCCCTTCTTTTTTAACGAGATCCTAAAACCTGTTTTTCATTTGAAATACCATCATTATCTAATCCAAATGTATTAGCTATGTAAGCCGAGTCAATATATAAGAATTGTCCTAGAAGGTAGGAACGAATTCCTATGGTTTCGGTTTCAGTTTGGTTTTTAACACAAACGGCATTAGAATAGAAAATACGAACAAGTTGATGGTAAACGATGGGTTCAAGGTCAAAGAGTTTATCAAATTTCCACTCTTGTAAAAGAGGAAGATATTTAAAATTGATAGCTAACATAGCTTAACGAGAAGGAATACGTTCTTCCCGGATTTTGTAAGAGTCGAAATATTGATAATACCAAAAACGATGATTTCTAGGACCACGATGATTGAAACACGAATTTTGGATAGTCAAATTAGGATCAATAGGATTAGGATTAGAAATTAGAATAGGTGGAGGATTTGGAGGTGGATTTGGTTGACGGTGTGAACGACTAGATGAAGACCT